GGGACGGGGGGGGGGGGGGTACTCATAGTCGTGCAGTAGTCGTTAGGCCATTGACCTCGCATCCCTACAAAGCCGGGACCGAGCACGGAGCACGCCGGGTTCTCACCGGACCGGGTGTGCGTGTGGCAAACATAAGCAAGAGGGAAGCCAGGGGTGTAAAGGGGCAACGAGATTTGATGTTCATAATAAAACGATGTCTTTTAGAACATGGGGCCGTACTACTCGTTTCGTCAACTCGAGAACCACACAAAAACAAGGCGTACCCAAGAACGGTCCTCCGTCGGACATGCCCACGCATACATTTCACGATGGCGTAATCATAGTCGCACAAAGAACTTGCCGACAAGACTATGCATCCATGAGCGAGAAGCTGACGATCACAGCAGCATCAGACACGCCAGGTTCTTCTTGCCTTTACTGTGCATCCAGCAAGCCCCGAACACTCCAAAAACGAATAAGATGTCATCAGGCGTCGAACACATACCAACAAACCTTGCTGCTTATATCACCCACCTCACGATTGGCTAGAACCTTGCACAATGTTTCCTCTGGTAGACTGGACACGAGCTGCACAGCTGCCTGCTCCACCTCCGCGCTACTGCTGTCCACACTTTGCTGAGATTCATACGACGGAAAAACAACGGTTCAGAGGCGAAAAGGCCGTTACTGCCAGCACCGGCGGAAAACAGTGAAAGCGCCGGCAGCGCAAGGAACGTTCCAAAGCAAAACCAAATGAAGCGGAACAACGCACCTTACACGTGCTCCCAAGCTCCTCCAGGGGTCGTGTTAATCTTCCCGCACAATGATCCACACACAACATCATATATGCACAGGTGGGGCTCCTACCTTCGCACCTACGGCCTGATGTAGCCCATCCTCGGACCGCGTGGTGTGGAAAGGGTGGGGGGGCTACATACAGTAGGGAGCACTCACGGCGGGGTGACCGCGTCATGGAACAGATGCATGAGCCCCCACCCCCAACTCCAATTTTCTCTTGTTCTACCGACGCAATCACTCCAAGTCAAAGGCGTTGCCACACCATATGCATGGATTTGTTCGTCTGTATCGTATGAATCCTGCTTACCCTCCTTTGCTGAGCGCGATCTCGCTCGAGCCTGAAGGAGAGTTTGTCCACGAAGGCTTCGCTCTCAGCAAACCTCCCGCCACCCACCACCCCTCCCCCACACTCGCCACCCCCAGCTCCGCCGCACAAGAGTGACAAGCATTCGTACGTGACTTGGGTCTGCGAATCTCCTCCGTCCGCGCTAGGTTGGTAAAACTCGTCCACTACCGTTCGGATGTCGGCTGGGTGACAGACAACAAGCGGCGAACGGAACAAGGTGTGATTCATCTCTCAGCGATCACACGTATCGTAGATACCTTACCTTCCAACACGAGGCCCGGCGGTGAGGAGGCCTCCAGCCAAAAGAACCGCAAACAAGACGCCCTGCTTCAAATGTTAATGTTTCGGCAGTCGCTGGAAAACGTCAACACGCAAATATCTCTCCTTTCTTTCTCCGCCGTTACCTCTCAAGGCATTGCCATTATGGGCTATGCATAGGTTTGCCGTATTTCGTTCGGGTTATTTCGCTCGACATTAAGAAACACATGCGCCGGGAAACAAGCCAAATTCTATCAATTCTCTTGATGTAGGCCGCAGACATCGTCCCACCACAGAAGGAACATGGCTAGATTTCGTGGCGTGTTCCTGACTGCGACAGGCCGTAGTACTATTGGTAGTCCGAGAGTGAGGAAGCGTGAAAGTCCCACGGAGTCGTGTTTGTGGTGTGCGGTCAGGTTCCGACCGTGCACCTGAGCTCGATCTTGAGCTTTGGGTCCCCTGGTGAGAAAGGGTCGCCAGCAAGCGCTAGAGGAATCTCACGCTGCCGTGGATGAATAACTTGAGCTAGTACATTCGCGTATCCTAGGTGCATTCGCCGTCTCCCAAGGTACGAGAGGATACGCGGTGGGGTACATCCGATCGCAGAGAACAGGCACGGCTGCCAGCTACAAACAGGAGATGCTGTACACATGTCATGTGCCAGACGACCGTGCTGTAGGTCATGTGACCCCCCGGGAACCCCGACATTTGATATCCGACATTAACAGTTGTGACAACGTCTGCATGGTGAAGAACCATGCACACATCAGACAGGCGCGTGTTCTGCTGTACCAAGCTGCGGCTGCAGCCTGGCATCATTAATGCCGGTGTATGTAACGTGCATAGATACATGCATTGGGCAGCTCGTAACGGTTGCTGTTACTCCAGCTTCATCGAGCTGTTTCATACTGCTGCAGATATGCGGAGCCGTGTATTGGGTGCGAGTTATATGCGTACGACTACTGTCCAAGGCGAAGACATTTCGTAAATCTGGCAGATAGAGGAGGGTGGTGAGCATTACAACAGCATTACCGAGACAAGGCGACCACGTCCGAACAACGCTGCCGGAGGCATCGACTGCTGCTGAACAACCGCACACAGAACAGCTCTGTATATTATTAGCAGCGGCCGGCGGTTGGTGCCGACAATTTGCAATGTTTGATCATCGTCACTACGTCACTACCGCGCAACATAACATGGACATCCACTATCCTTGCAGGATGTCGACACCTCGCATGGCCCAACGTCATGCGTACACACGGTTTTCCTTTTGAAGGCTGCTACTGCTGTAGGCGACGGCTGTTACAGACATCTGCAAGCGATAAAATGCAATGCAAGCGCGCTGTTGTTCTGTATAGGTTGTGCATACCCTCGGACGCTGCTCCTCCCGCCGACAGTTTGTCGGCCAGGTATGCGACTCGCTTCCCTCCAGGACCTCTGCCAACACCGTCAAGTTCCATCGCCACAGCTGCTGTACGGGTGGGGAGATCACACCGCAGAACACAGCAGCAGCAACAGAGAGGCGAGAGGCAAGAGGCAAGAGGCAAGACAAGAGGCAAGAGAAGCAAAGGGGGGGAACACCAATGATACTTGACGGAGCAGGTACGTACGAGAACCAGTTACTGGAATTCGGAATTCGGATTACGAGATTATCCCTCGAATAGCTGCCCAAAGATCAACCACTACGACCACCGCACGCAACCAAATGCACGATGGAGTTTCCGCATCGCCTGTTGGAGTTTCGCTTGCCGATGGCCGATGGCATTGTTCCTGGCCATACCAACTGGGAATCATCCTCGCCAGGGAGAGCGCGACAGATATCACGCTCAGTGACCCGCCCCCGCGGAGCAGAAGGAAACCAGAAAGTAAGCCCCTCCATTCAACCAAAACGGTTGGCATGTTGGCGTTGCCGTGTAGGTTCCCCCCCGAGATTCCTTCGCAGCCACCAGGAGCGCTACTTCAACCCCGCTGGTGCGGGATCCGCGCGACGCAATACCACCCCCAGTCTAGATCTACCGATCTACAGCGTAGTATTATGGAATCCACTTTGAGGACAAAACACTGCTGTGCCTGTTTACCGCACCGTGGTCGTCACTACATGTATGTCGTGATGTATAACGTCAGATGACCTGTCGGAGATCTACCTTCGGGGTGTTGCCACAGATAGTCAGTGTATGATGGACGCTGAACCCTGCTGCAGCAGGCTCGCTTCCCCCGTGACTCACAACACAACTATCCGTACCGTACTCTTCAGCCTCTCCACAAGAGGTTGAACCGGTGTGTATCCACACCACACATCCCAAGGGGAACTTGTCCGTACGTGAACCTGGCGACATCCGTCTCATAGTACAATAGTGCTCTACTGATGGTGTTTACCAACACCCAACATAACAAGAAACAAGCTAACATGATACAACCTGAATGCTATGCCCTACCTACCATGCACCAGGTATACCATCCTCATCTACTGCTGTATAAACATCACTGATACGTTACCCCAAAGGATCAAAAACGATTTGTAAATTAAAAAAAAAACGGCGGGAAACACCTGCTGTCCGTGAAAATAAAAAAATCTGTAGATTTGAAAAACGAGTGATGTAGACTACTGCTGTAGACTTTGTTCCACCTTCCATGTTTTTTACATATTACATATTATTCCTAATATGTCTAATAAACCAGCAAGCTGTCAATAGACACTGCGCCGTGTCCCCTGTGAAGGTTGCATTTTACAATACACGACACAACGGAGGCATTCTCCCCGATATTTTGTCGTTGGCCCAGTAGTAGAGAACTACAGGGGATGTATTGTAAAATGTAAGTTACCTATACAGATGTTTTTGTACTTAGCACCAGCTGGCATCACTGGTATAAATCATCAGTGTAAGACTTAAAAAGACTCGAAATAAGTCCAGTACCCAGCCGGTTTCCCTCCACTCACTGAAAAGACTCCACCACATCCCGTTCGACTGTGGGTATATCTCGAATGGGTAGTCTTTCTGTGTGTGCTTTTATTATTCCTTAATAATAGTACGAAGTACAGTTTACCAACAAGGGGACCCGCGGTTTGTGAGATTGTGTGCAACAAGTCAGGGCCTGTACTAGGTATGGGGGTTAATGAGTCGTGGTGCGACTCAACACCTTGCAGTAGCCTTATCTGCGATGCTGATGGTGCACGAATCCCGACATACACCAGCGTGAATTGTTTGTGGTGCAGCTACGCGTGCACCACAGAGGGACAGCACGCGTGCGACGGGTTGTACCGTAAGGGTGCGGGTCTTGGCACGGATCGGCTACATGGCACAGGCCGCGGTCTTGGCACAGGGGGTGCGGAAAAAAGTCGGGTTTCAAGGGATTTAATTGATTATCGCACAGGTATCGTTCACTTCGCACAGGGGTGTGCGGAGACCCCGATACCTTCGGCGAGGTTGGGTGATGCCATGGTTTCCAGCTTTTGTCGCGGGCCACTACTGTACCAAGGTACATAGCTTGTATCAGGGGCCCCACTACTGTACTTTGGCATCGTAACGTTGCTCATGTGCAAATGATGTTGTTCAACATTGTCATGTTTGTCGGAATCGGCAAACGCTTCAACGATTCTACTCAAATCAACCGAGAACGCGTACAAACCACACGAGACCACACGACCACAACCACCTACGGTACTACGAAAAATACAGACTCCGCACGTGCACCCTCTGACATCGTAGCCAACGTGTTGCTTGTGTGTGGTGTGTGTGAGTACGCACCTCTGTATTGGGGAATTTCAAGGTAATTCGCCGCCTCGCCGCCTCGGATTTTTATTTCGCCGCATTTTATTTCGCTGCATGTGTTTTGTGTGTTTTGGGGTGTTGGTGTGCTGTTGTGTCTGTCTGTGTTCGTTATGTTGTGGTCCTGATGCTGCTATACCTGCACACGCACACGAAGTGCTGGTGCATGTCTGCTGGGATTTGTTCAGGATCGCACACATCGGAGTCTTGGCGCGGGGGTGCGCGTTCAAAACACCCCACTCGCCACTCTGTACTTATTCAGAATCGCACAGATCGGAGTCATCGCACGGGGGTGTGTGTTATATGTTCAGGACCAAACATTTAATTCATGTCCCGCACAGGTATCGGGTACATGGCACGTATCGGCGTCTTGGCACCCCTGTGCGATAGAAAAACAGATAATGAAAACATTTACAAAGACGATCGCACAGTGTGCCAAGACCCGCATCCGTACGGTATGTGCGGCCACCGTTCAAAATTTTGCACTTTACATGCGGTTGTTTCTTTTCCGTTTTGATGCACATGCACACATGCACGAAGAAACTAATTTTGAAGTCTTCCCGCTGTGCGGACGCAAACACACACATCTGGGCATCTGGAAGAGGCACGCATGCGGCATACCACCTGGCGGCGAGCGTATCACACATCACACCGTCGAGGAGCACGGCCAACAGCTTAGACATAGTCTAGGATTGTGACAAGACAGATGGCAAATATTGCGTCAGGCTCACAACCTGCCCGCCACATTCGTCTCAAGCCTTGCGACTTTCCCGCCAAGTGAAAGCAAGCAGTCCAGCATGAACCAAAAACAACAAAGCCGTTGATGGTCATGACGTCATGACTTTGATAGAGAGACACCTTGCAGCAGCAACAACAGCATGCAGGGAACGGCTTTTGCAAAGACAGTCAGTAGCGCGGCGCAAGTACGCAATCTGAACCGATCCCGCGGGGAACCATCCTGATAACGCACAGCAGCAGCAGTAGACCCTCACGCCCTCGACGGTTTGCTCGATGATGGTAGGTGTGATCTGGACTTGGGAAGGTGTGTTATTTGTGTGTTCAATTGTGATCATCGGTCCGCTCTTTTTGGAGCAGTCGGTTGGACCCACTCAACATTAATAAGCACCCGCCAGGTTACAGATGGCGCATGCCTACAGCAGTATACCCACGGTGCACAGGTCGTGTAGGCCCGGCCCATCCTGGTTTTCATAGCTGGTCTCAGCCCAGCGTCTCAGCGGTGATTCGTTAGTTGGTGGTGTTCTTGCGTCTCTGTCGGTGTTTCTCAGCGGTGACTGCGTTTTTTGGTGTGTTTCGTCTCTGTCTGACTGTGTTTTTTGTCCTGGTTTGAATCGCACGCGCGCGCGATCTCCGCTTTTTATATACACGCCTTTTCGCGTAGAAACCCCGGGGTTAGGGAGCAAGATCACCTACGAATATAGGGCACAAACGCTTGTGTAGCACGGCCGTCTGCTATCAGAGCACGTACAACCCAGTGTGACGGAGAGCGCGCAATTTTTCTTCTTCCTCAGAAGCGAAAAGATCGTCAATCGGCGCCCTTGGATGTCGTTCTGATCCCAAAGGTGCGATATTTCGGCTTCCCCGTAATCAAGTTTTGGGGCCCCTGTATCGCGCGGCGCAACTTTGGTCGATATATGGAGCCTTTTTTTCCCTCGTGGGGACGAAGGAAAAAAGGTCGCTCGCTTCGCTCACTCCGCAACTCATGATTAACGATCATTTTTGTCACCTAAATTGAATACCTAAAGTGGATGAACCCATTTGGGTTTTTGGCCAAAAAGGGCTTCGTCGTTTTAACGCAAATTTGCCACATCGAACTTCAGCAACACCCAAATGCGGCGGAATCGCTGCCGCGAGGTGACGTGGTGACCCAACCACGTAGAGCGATAGACCATGTGCACCACCAGGGAGCTGTAAAAATATATAAGCACACACACGAAGATAAGCATCAGCAGGTGGTGCCAGCGGTCCAAGCCTCATCCTCAAAGGCTTGCTCTACGACTGTTGTTTGGACTGTCTCGCTCCACACAACCGGCCGTTGACTTTTGACATCCCACATATTGGAAAGCAACTTCCCGAGCAACCCAACCAGCGCGAAACGTTGGCACGCTCACAGATTCATTGCAATACAGCTACCTCCCAGCAGCGGGCAGTGGGCGATGCGTGTGGGTGCCGCACGGCCAGTGTGCCACATGCAGTCCCGTCAGGGGTCACGCCAGCACGAGTCCAGTTCATCACGGGGGGTGCATAAGGGGCGCAGTGCAACTCGGGTACTTCGATTCAGCAGAAAACAATTCGATTTGTAATTGATTTTTGCTGCACCCGATATCGGGGGAGTATGGTCGCAAGGCTGAAACTTAAAGAAATTGACGGAAGGGCACCACCAGGAGTGGAGCCTGCGGCTTAATTTGACTCAACACGGGGAAACTTACCAGGTCCGGACATAGTGAGGATTGACAGATTGAGAGCTCTTTCTTGATTCTATGGGTGGTGGTGCATGGCCGTTCTTAGTTGGTGGAGTGATTTGTCTGGTTAATTCCGTTAACGAACGAGACCCCCGCCTGCTAAATAGTGTGGCTTACGCTTTTGCGTAGGTACTCGCTTCTTAGAGGGACTTCTGGTGACTAACCAGAGGAAGTTGGGGGCAATAACAGGTCTGTGATGCCCTTAGATGTCCTGGGCCGCACGCGCGCTACACTGATGCATGCAACGAGTTTTACTTTTCCTGGGTCGAGAGGCCCGGGTAATCTGTTGAACGTGCATCGTGATAGGGATAGATCATTGCAATTATTGATCTTGAACGAGGAATTCCTAGTAAACGCGAGTCATCAGCTCGCATTGATTACGTCCCTGCCCTTTGTACACACCGCCCGTCGCACCTACCGATTGAATCATTCGGTGAGGATCTCGGATTTTGTTGCTTACGCTTCACGGCGTTTTCGACGCGAGAAGTCATCCAAACCTCATGATTTAGAGGAAGGTGAAGTCGTAACAAGGTTTCCGTAGGTGAACCTGCGGAAGGATCATTACCGAAAAATTTGTATGCCAAGGCTAGCTTGTTTCCTGCGGCAATTTGTATGCTGCGGGCAACTTGTATTATGCCGCGGCTGCCTGCCTCATTTCGATGCCTCTGGCCGCCTC